TGGAATTTTTCTTTTCTTTGGGTTGGGTGAAAGAAAAATTCCAGTGCGAAAAAAAAGAAACCCAGATACAAAAGTAAAAAAAAAAAAACATGCCAAAAATAACCCAAAACCCAAACCTCTGCTTGGAGAGTAGTTGTGTCTTGAACCATGGCTGTCTCGCACTATTCCTGAACAGGTTTGGGATTAGGTTAAACCTCGGTTCTGTATAGCCTCCAGTGCAGTGAAGGGCAATCTAGTCAGAAATTTGCTTGTAAATTACGCTTCTGGTTACAACCGCCGGTCCGTTGTCAAACATTTCAACACGGGTAGGGAAAAACTGACCTTGATGTCCAAACAGCTAGGGGAAGGGGGGGGGTGTGGATGCGTTGCTACTTACACGAATCAGCTTTTTTCTGTGATTTTTGTCGTCCAGAAGCCCATTGTCTCCTTAGCCAACCTATTTTCCACTAATTACGTATAATTACCAGTTGGCTTAACACTAATCATTTCGATTTAAGGCCTGTCACTGCCCTACAGTCTTTTGTTGACACAGATTCCAAAATAAAGGACACAAAGCCAGGAATTTCAACCGATCACCTCTTTTATTACCATTATTAGTATCCGTGAATCACGTTTGAACTGCACTTTCTAACACAAGAAACTGGACCAAATTTTCCACTGCTCATTATTTGACAAAGACTAGGCTTGCTTGCTTCCTGACTTGCTCTTGTCGAGTCCTCGACTTACAGAAATCACCAAGACTGTGGAAAGTTACGTCCAATCTCTTCTCTTAGAAATTACGGTTCTTCATCCTGACTTCCACCAACTCGCCTGAAATGTCAAAATTCCCTGTATTTGTCCCTTTCTTTATTAGTTTGTTTTGTGTTTTGTGTGTAAAACTTATGGTGAGTGTGTGTTTGTGTGTGTGTGTGTGTGTGTGTGTGTGTGTGTGTGTGTGTGTGTGTGTGTGTGTGTGTGTGTGTGTCCATGTGTGCACCTGATCTCCTCATACTAAACGCAGCAGACAGGCAGCCAAGGTAAGGAGGAGAAAGCCTCTACCCAGAGCCCCCTACACCCCAAGCAAGCAAGTGTGTGTGTGTGTGTGTGTGTGTGTGTGTGTGTGTGTGTGTGTTTGTGTGTGTGTGTGTGTCCATGTGTGCACCTGATCTCCTCATACTAAACGTTTAAACCAATACAGTTGCAAAAAGATTGCAGGGTTGAATTCTAGCTACACCTTTCGCAAAACAGTAGGGACATGCCCCGGTGTGCGATGGTCCAAAAGCTACTATCTGTAAGTTGGTGATTCACTACAAATCACCCGGATGGAGGCCTGGCGAACACAAAGTGATTTACATCATAACATTGAGGACTCCAGGAAGAATAGTGTAAAATTTGTATATCACCAATGGAGATCTTAATCTAACAGAAAAAAAACTAAGCTTATTCTTAGAATCATTGTAGACTCAATCCTCAAGTTATCTACCGACTTTTGTGTGTGGGTTTGTCATAGTAACGTCTGTTCTTTGACAATAATGATTGTGCATATGAAAGTATGTCAGACTTTTGAGGAATTATGATTAACCCTACTTGGTACTTTCTCTTAAGTCCCTTTCAATTTAAATCACTGGATAACTAAGTCATTTGAGGGTTAAGTCATGGAGTGTCAAGTGACTTAGAGGTTAAGACAAGACTGCAGTGTCTTAACCCGCTGCCATGGAATCACTAATTCAAAGTTTCTTTGAGAGTTAAGTTACTTGAAGTTACTTAAAGAGTAGACACTTGAAGTTTAAGCCACAATATCGTGGGCG